TTAAATGGAGGTGAGGTTTACTCCTTTTCTCAAGTTTTTTTTCCACTTCTTTTTTAGCGAACTGATTTTAGTATTTTGTTTTATTAACATTATATTGATGGCGGATATAGATGCACAGTGTTCACTAGTGTGTCCCATTCTTCAACTGCCTTTCTAATCATTGTAGCCTCTGTGGATTCTGCACTTAATGCAGCTGCTCTTGTTGGATGAATGTTGAGTTTGCTGCGCAGGGCTTCAGTTGCTTCACATTCCAGTAAGTAATGCAATAGTGGCGCCTTGATCTTGACCAAATTATCCGTCCATACACTTGTTTTATATTGAAGGTTTCTGTGAAGCGATCTGTGTATACTATCTTTGATTGACAGTCTGGTAGTGGTTCCAACAAGTTTTGCTCATATGGTGGCTATTCTTTATTTGATCCTGTTTTCTAAGGCTGGTAAGTTGGTTTCCATTCTTAGGTTCTCTCGACGCGTCCATATAGGTGCTCCCAGCATTGTTCTGAGGGCATCATTTTGAGACACTTCCAGTTTTTCCCATTGGTTATCACTGAGGGATGTAAGAGCAGGAGCAACATAGTCGATGAGTGACCTAACTGCTTGAACGTAGTACATTTTGAGTACTGGTAGAGTTGCACCATCTCTAAGACTTTGTCTGGGAGCGCAAAGCTGAGTTTCTGGCTTTGCGACGTTGTCGAAGATATTCAATTTATTGAGTGAATTTCAACTGGCTGTCTATTATGACTCCAATGTATTAAAAAGAGATAACACGCTCAATTTCTTGTCCTTGTATTGCGAGTCTGATGTCTTGAGTTCTCCTTTAATGGCCATTGCTTTGGTTTATTGCTGTTTATTTTAACTACTATGCGTTCCGCTTCCCTGCTGATGATGTCTAGGCATTTTTGTGCATGGTTCCTGGCGCCTTTGCCATTGATAATGACAACAAAGTCGTCTGCATAGTTAAGGAGTTTGACTTTTGGTAGCTTGAGCTTCGTGAATTTTCTGTGAGACAGTTGAGGAGGAAGGGTCTTAGTGCATCTTTCTGTGGAATCCCATTTTCCAGCCTCTTTGAGGAGGATATTTTTCTTTGAAATTTGACTTTATCTTCTCTGTTGAGCAGACGTTTTTTGGCAAATGCATGAGCAAGTCCTTTTATTTCCTCATCCACCAGGCAGCACAGTGTAGCTAGAGTATTGGCTAGCTCGAAGGCTTTTTCTAGGATCAGAAAAATAAGGATTCCTGGTTTGTCATTGATTTGATCCAGGAGGGAGGTAAGGCATTCTGTGTTTCCAATACCTTCTCTGTAAGCAAACATATTTTGGTACAGTGGATTTGACTTTCCATTCAACTTGATTAAGAACCATTCTTTCCGCAGTTTTGGCCAGACAGCTTATTAATGAGATGGGTCTTGGATTTCCTGGATCTTTGAGTTTTGGAATGGGAACTATAATTGCACTACACCAAGAGAGTGGTCGAGTTTTTGTCACCCATACTCTGTAGATGAGATTCAAAAATGCTTCTTCACCCTTTTCTCCTAGCTTGGCCAGCATGTTGTAAGTGATATTTTGTCCTTACCTGCAGCTGTGTTTTTAGTTTTCTTTGTAGCTTTTCTGAGTTCTTTAAGACTGAAAGGTTGGTCTAGTTCGTCAGGTAAGGCTAAAGCATCATCTATTTTCTTCCTTCTTGCTGCTTGAAGTCTTTGTTAGTAAGTCAGAGTTGCTTGTGGAAATTGAGTGGAACTGGCTCTTGAAGCAAATAGATTTGCCATTCTTTCTGCTTCTTGCTCTGGATGTACATGATGGGGCGGAGCAGGAGGCGATTTTCCTTTGGCCCCTGTTGATCTGCCTCCAGATGTCGTCCAAAGATGTATGCTGATTTAGCTTGGCACACCACTCGGGCCATTTTTCTTCTTTGATTTTTGCTGTTTCTTCATGCACATGATCTCAGATAACTCTAAGAAGTTCCAGATTAGCTTGGGGTTTGTCTCTTCTGAAATTCTTTCGTGCACAATTTTGTCTGTTATGTAGTTCTTTGATCCAATCACAGAAATACCAATGGTCTTTAAGTTGCTGGGTAATTGTTTTCTTCTTGGGAATGGAGTGATTTGCTGCTTTGTGTATTGCATTTACTAAATATTTTTCTATTTCTTCAGTATTATCAAGCGGAGTGTAATATGGGTGCCAAATTTTAAGAGATTCCTGAAATTTCGTCCTATCTGCCTTGATAAAATCCTATCCGGGTTCGGGAGCTGGAGGTCTGGGAGGTTGTACTATATTAATAACTGTTCTTGAAGCCAAGTGGTCACTGGTCAGTACAAGTGGTCACTGGTCAGTACAAGTGGTCACTGGTCAGTACAAGTGGTCACTGGTCAGTACAAGTGGTCACTGGTCAGTACAAGTGGTCACTGGTCAGTACATGGTCCACTGACCAATGACACAACTCATAAATACTGGTGGAGACAAATGTGAGGTCCATTATCTTAATTTTCCGCTGGAATATGACCCTCCAAATAGTTTAACAACCAGGTACCCATTTACTGCTGGGTGAACAGAGGCGTAGAGTGGAATGGATAGTGCTACCCATTTCATTATGTATGAGTTCATTTTTTTTTAATTTCAGTTGAAACTATGGTAGATATATGTCCTAACCTAACCAACCCTACCTAACCTAACCTAATCTATCTTAACCTAACCTAATCTTACATAACATCGTCAATAATTTATGTACTTAATATAATATAATAATTCAAATAAATGAATTGGAAACAATTTGTTGAAAATAAAGAAAATCACTCGGCCTATTAGGCAAATCGGGCCTTGCATAGTAGGCCGAGAAGTGCGTTCTGGCTACTAGGTACGATATATATATATATATGTCGTACCTAGTAGCCAGAACGCACTTCTCGGCCTACTATGTAAGGCCCGACTTGCCTAATAGACCAAGTGATTTTCTTTATTTTCAATAAATTGTTTCCATTTAGTTTATTTGAATTATCATTATTATATTATATTAAGAACATAATTTATTGACTTAGTTGTGATAGTTTAGGTTAGGTTAAGATAGGTTAGGTTAGGTTAGGTAGGGTTGGTTAGGTTCGGTCATATATCTACGTTAGTTTTAACTTAAATTTAAACAAATTAACTTATACATAATGAAATGGACAGATTTATCATTTCATAAGGACAAAAATTGAAATTTATATAAATTCAGGAAAACTTGGCTTATTAGGCAAATCGGGGCTTGCATAGTAGGCCAAGTACGACGTTCTGCCTACTAGGTACAACATATGTCTATATATATATATATATATATATATATATATATATATATATATATATATATATATATATATATATATATATATATATATATATATATATATATCGTACCTAGTAGCCAGAACGCACTTCTTTGCCTACTATGCAAGGCCTGATTTGCCTAATAAGCCAAGTTTTCCTGAATTAATATATTTTCTCTAATTTTTTTCTTATGAAATGATAAAGCTACCCATTTCATTATGTATGAGGTCAATTTTTTTTTATTGGAGTTAAAATTAACGTAGATATATGACCGAACCTAACCAACCCTACCTAACCTAACCTATCCTATCTTTATAGGTTAGGTTAGGTTAGGTAGCCGAAAAAGTTAGGTTAGGTTAGGTTAGGTAGTCGAAAAACAATTAATTCATGAAAAGTTGGCTTATTAGGCAAATTGGGCCTTGCATAGTAGGCTGAGAAGTGCGTTCTGGCTACTAGGTACGACATATATATATATATATATATATATATATATATATATATATATATATATATATATATATATATATATATATATATATATATATATTGGTAACAGTCTTTCTTGTAAACATATGTTGTTAAATATGACTGAAAAGGCAAGATTAACAATTCTAACACGAATTTTCTCAATATTTCTTATGTTTCTTTTCACTGTCGATGGTAATTGAAAAATCAATTCTGCAAAATTTATTTATATTTCTAGTCTGATGCGACGCTTGAACGCATTTCGTAATAACTTATTACATTTTCAAAGACTTTAGTTTACACACAGAACTGTAACCTGTAAACACGCTAATCCGTCATACTTATACTCGCATTTGGGTGAGGTGATATGGTGCAACAGTTTTGGATGAGGTGAACAAACTTGTGACAACCACAAGACAGAATACGAAACTATGGGTATTGATTGGATATAAGAGCATAAGAACGGAAGTAACTGCAAAGGGCCTATTGGCCCATACTTCCTCTTGATGCTTCTATATTGGTTCGGAGTCTTGTAGGGGGTAGAATATAGTTGTGCATTAATTGGCTGTTGATTGCTGGTGTTGACGTTTTTATGTGTAGTGCCTCGTAGATTTCGAGCCGCCTGCTATCACTGTACCTATCGATGATTTCTGTGTTGTTTGTTAAGATTTCTCTGGTGATGGTCTGGTTGCGAGAGGAGATTATATGTTCCTTTATGGAGCCCTGGTGTTTATGCATTGTTAATCGCCTGGAAAGAGACGTTGTTGTCTTGCCTATATACTGAGTTCTTTGGGGCTTACAGTCGCCAAGTGGGCATTTGAAGGCATAGACGACGTTGGTTTCCTTCAAGGCATTCTGCTTTGTGTCTGGAGAGTTTTTCATGAGTAGGTTGGCCGTTTTCTTGATTGTATAGTAAATCGTCAATTGTATTTTCTGATTTTGTAATGTAATTTGTCGTGCGTTTTATAAATATAAGTCTGTTGTCATCTCACTACTCAGCTGTTTCCCTATACCTTGAATTCTCCTTGACACAATTAAAAGCCTTATTCCCTTAGACAACAATAATACATGATAGAATAATAATGATAACAATACTACGTGATAGGACCGTGACAAACTATGCAATCAATGCTGAGAGGTGAACAATACTTGCTTTAATGTTTCATCAATGCAGATGGTGAAAATATATTATTATACAAGTTGGTATATTTGTTTCCTCATGTGGTGGTGACTGCCGCAGGGAGGCAAGGTGCCACTGGTAAAGACAGTGCCGGAGGTGAAGGTGCAGCTTGGTCACGACCACCCAGTGTTCGGAGGCCAGCCATGGACCCAGCAGACACTGGGGTGTGGCCAGCCCGCACACTTCATACACCTTCCATATACATTCCTCAGGGCCGATAGTTTCTCCTCTCCCTATCTCATCAGAGGTGAGTCCATGTTACAAGGGAGTTCATGATAGTAGATAGGCCCATAATGAGAGGTGAGTCAATGTTGATAGCAGAGTCCATGATAAAGGGGTAGTGTAATCTGGGCCTACGAGCAATATTTTTGGATTTTAAAAATTATTGCTCGTAGGCGCCATCTTTTTCTGTGAATGACATTAGCGTTGCATTCTGGTGTCCCTAATTTATCAGTAAATGACGTCATCGACCGTCGGTCACAGGGCCGTTAAATTTTCCATGAATTTTTATCCCCAGAGTAAGATCCAGTCTCGTATTTTTGTCAGATATTTTAGTTTTTTCCAGTATTGTTCAGTGACTATTCAAAGACTGCATATTTGTACTAACTATTTTGTTTACGTCAAAGATTGCTTATTAGCATAAGTTCAAAAGAGCTGTATGTGTTCACTGTACGACTGTCCAGTGAACACTCACAGTTCTATACACATACTGTTCTACTGTAGTGCTCACTACACTAATATAACTACTGAAGTGCTCACTACACTAATATGACTACTGTAGTGCTCACTACACTAACATGACTACTGTAGTGTTCACTACACTAATATGACTACTGTAGTGCTCACTACACTAACATGACTACTGTAGTGTTCACTACACTAATATGACTACTGTAGTGCTCACTACACTAACATGACTACTGTAGTGTTCACTACACTAATATAACTACTGTAGTGCTCACTACACTAATATAACTACTGAAGTGCTCACTGCTGCAGTGTCTAACATTAAAAAGTTGGGAGACGTTAGAATAACATCACAACCTTTGAGACTAACAAAGATCCTCTTTTCCTTGGCGGGCGTGGGCGTGGGCGTGTGCGTGGGCAGGTAAGCGTGTGGTGCAGGAGTGGGCCAAGCTGCGGTGGGGGGTGTTCAGCGAGCAGGGTGTGGCGGGGGACGAGGTGTTCCCGCTGGCCTACGCCACGGTGGCCGCCCGCCTCCACAACACCAGTGACTGGCTTCCCAACTACTGTGTCGACAGAGACCTCTACGGAGAGTTCCGGTTAGTCCCCAGGGAATGTGCTCTTCATGTCAACTCCTTATTACATAAATAATTTGTACTTTGTGTAGCATAATTATTGAGCAAGTGGACTCTTTTTCTGAAAAGATATTGGATACTTTTTTTGTGTTTTGAAGGTGAACTTCATAAGAATCTCAGTAAGTTCTTGCAAGGTTTGGTCTTGTATAAAGAGGCTCTTCAAAATGTTGACATAAATCTATCCGTAAGGCTGCTCATAATTTTTGTTTTTTAATTTTTGCCCGAGGGGCGAGTTTATTGGGCAGCGCCATTCATCCTGTGAGTGGCGTACACAACGCCATATCACCATGTACAACACTCCCCAATAGGAAGAAAACCTGATGGGGTTTTTCATCTTGCAGCTTGTACCCAGACACACCTGGGACTTGCTTAACTATCTCAAGGGAATAGCTTCTCAAACAAGAAGATTAACATTCGTCAACCCTTAAAATCTTATGTTATTTTGCGAGTGAAAAATGGGGAAATAACATAAACAATGAGAGGTTTATTATTCTACACATATTTCTAATGTCTCTCTGATGTTCCCATTCTCTCTAATAGTGATCTAGGCGGTGTACGTCACTCTCACCACAGATTCTGCAACTCCTCTGCTCAACTGTTGTTTCCATTTGAAATCTCCATGGATATTTGTATCCAAGACGGATTCTCGCTATTACTGATTCTGTCCCGCGGCCACCTCCTCTTCGTCCATAATGATTAGGATTGCCAGCTGCAACCATGTTGTAGCAGCGTGCAGATTCACTGATTTGTTCTTCTACTCTCCTTTCCTCGGTAACCTTGTCACGGTGATATTGCCTGATGATACCTCTAATTTGTAAAAGAGTCTTGGGTATGAAATATTCAATATGATCACCTTCAGCACCTACAGCAGCAAACACATCTACTCGTTCATTTTCACAGATTCCAACATCGGAGGGGATCCACAGAAATTTGACAACTTTTCCCTGATTGGTTAGTACTCTCACAGCTCTCTTGATTTCAACGACTATAGCAAGATTTTCTGCTCGATTTCTAATATGGCTTTGTAGCGCTGCTTTTGAGTCAGTGCAGATCACTGCATCATTAGTGTTTTGTTCAAGGAATCTTAACGTCATAACTATGGCATTTAACTCCGCTTGTATTAAAGAGGCATAGTTCTCAATACGTGCTTTTCCTTCATTTCCGCATTGAAAGGCATTGTTCCTTATGACAGTGTATGCTGCACCAGCCCTGCAATTGACAGGGTATAATGACCCATCAGTGTAGATTTGATCTAATTCATTTCCGGCTTCTTTATAGATTTCCTCAAGATAATTGTGCCTCATTTCTTGTGGTATCATGTTGGACATTTTTGTTGTCATCTCATTGATGATCCTCCTGCATGGGTTATCAACCCAGGGAGGTAACCTCTCTACAGGCAGGAGCTCACGGGCGTGCTCATGCAGGTGAAGTTCTTCGAGGTAGCAGACTGATCTGTGATGACATTTTTTGCTTCTCCTGTTTCCCCATGTAAGTAGCACAGAACTCAGGTTTTTTCTTGGCAATATCATTGTAATGGGGATCTCTAGTTCTCTTAATTGCAAGCTTAGAATTCAGTTCCTTAATTCTGCTTTTAACACTGGGGAGGGATAACTTCTCTCATAGATTAGATGTATTGGCAGTTCTTGGGACTACAAGAATGATTGTCATTTTGTATGCTTTCAAGGTTTTTTCATATCGTTTTGGGAATAATTGTATAAAACTGGCGTGGCATAGTCTATGATGGAGCGCACATAGGCTGTGTATATCATTTTAAGCGCGGCAATAGAGGCCCCATACCCATTCCAGGTCATAGCTTTTAGTGCCCTGAATCGACTTTTGCATGTTCCTATGAGTTGGTTGAGCTCTTCTTTCTTCCCCTTGTTAGAGCCGACAGTGATGCCAAGGTACCGGTAATGGTCAACTATTCAAGTGTTACACCATTAATTTGTGGTTTTTTATTTTCTCCTCGCTTGTGATGAGAGTTTACTTTTGTCTTGTTTGTGGAGAGAGTGAAACCGAGTTCAACACATTTCATTCCAAGAAGTTCAGTGGACTGTTTAATTTTTCCCAAGATGGGAGCTTACATTAGGATATCATCTGCATATCCCACCTGTTTTGTTCCTTCCGGAAATTCAATATTTGCAGTGGCGTTCGTAAGTATGTTAAATAGTGTTGGATCCTCCAAGGAACCATTGTGGGGGTCCAGAGTTCCATACTCATTGTGCTCGAGATTGCTCCGTAGAAGCAGATCTTGGCTTTCCTCACTCTAAGGTAATCTTCAATCCATTTCACGAGTCTTCCATTGACACCCATGCATGCAAGCTCGTCCAGTATCGCAATCCCTGGTGCTTTGTCGAAGGCTCCTTTGATGTCAACAAATACAGAGTACTTATAATAATAATAATAGCTGTGTCATTAGCCAACTAATTAACTAAACAACTTGCTGTACTCCATCCTTTAACAAATCCAATGACCCCCTCCCCAATCCTGCCTATTTTGTCCAACAGTCGGTTTAGGATAATTCTTTCAAGCATCTTCATAATGTTTATTCCTCTACATGTATATGCGCAATCTTCCCGAAAATTCTCACAAAATCATTTAATTTTTGAAATTCAGTAAATATTTTGATGCCGAACTTCAGCAGCGAGTTTGAAAGTCACCTAAAGTGCGAAAAAAGCAACATTCACCGGGGCCACTGACCACACCCCGGGGTAACTGACCACACCCCGAGGCAACTGACCACACCCCGGGGTAACTGACCACACCCCGGGGTAACTGACCACACCCCGAGGCAACTGACCACACCCCGGGGTAACTGACCACACCCCGGGGCAACTGACCACACCCCGGGGCAACTGACCACACCCCGGGGCAACTGACCACACCCCGAGGCAACTGACCACACCCCGGGGCCACTGACCACACCCCGGGGTAACTGACCACACCCCGAGGCAACTGACCACACCCCGGGGTAACTGACCACACCCCGGGGCAACTGACCACACCCCGGGGCAACTGACCACACCCAGGCACAACTGACCACACCCCGGTGCAACTGACCACACCCCGGGGCAACTGACCACACCCCGGGGCAACTGACCACACCCAGGGACAACTGACCACACCCCGGGGCAACTGACCACACCCCGGGGCAACTGACCACACCCCGGGGCAACTAATCACACCTCCGGGGCAACTGACCACACCCCGGGGCAAATGACCACACCCCGGGGCAACTGACCACACCCCGGGGCAACTGACCACACCCCGGGGCAAATGACCACATCCCGGGGCAACTGACCACACCCCGGGGCAACTAATCACACCCAGGGGCAGCTGACCACACCCCGGGGCAGCTGACCACACCCCGGGGCAAATGACCACACCCCGGGGCAACTAATCACACCTCCGGGGCAACTGACCACATCCCGGGGCAAATGACCACATCCCGGGGCAACTGACCACACCCCGGGGCAACTGACCACACCCAGGGGCAGCTGACCACACCCCGCGGCAACTTTCCACACCCTGGGACAACTAACCACACACAGGGACAACTGACCACATCCCGGAGCAACTGACCACACCCCGAGGCAGCTGACCACACCCCGGGGCGACCACACCCCGAGGCAACTGACCACACTCTGGAACAACTGACCACACCCTGGGACAACTGACTACACTCTGGGACAACTGACCACACTCTGGGACAACTAACCACACCCGGGACAACTGACCACACCCTGGGACAACTAACCACACCCGGGACAACTGACGACACCCTGGGACAACTGACTACACTCTGGGACAACTGACCACACTCTGGGACAACTAACCACACCCTGGGACAACTGACCACACTCTGGGACAACTGACTACACTCTGGGACAACTGAATACACTCTGGGACAACTGACAACACCTTGGGACAACTGTCCACACCCAGGGGCAACTGACCACATCCCGGGGCAACTGACCACATCCTGGGACAACTGACCACACCCTGGGACAACTGACCACACTCTGGGACAACTGACCACACCCTGGGACAACTGACCACACTCTGGGACAACTGACTACACTCTGGGACAACTGACCACACTCTGGGACAACTGACCACACTCTGGGACAACTGACCACACCCTGGGACAACTGACCACACTCTGGGACAACTGAGCACACTCTGGGACAACTCACCACACTCTGGGACAACTGACCACACCCTGCGGAAACTGAAAACACCCTGGGGAAACTGACCACACCCTGGGGAAACTCGCCACACCCTGGGACAACTGACCACACCCAGGGGCAACTGACCACACCCTGGGACAACTGACCACACTCTGGGACAACTGACCACACCCTGGGACAACTGACCACACTCTGGGACAACTGACCACACTCTGGGACAATTGACCACACTCTGGGACAACTGACCACACCCTGGGACAACTGACCACACTCTGGGAAACTGACCACACTCTGGGACAACTGACCACACTCTGGGACAACTGACCACACCCTGGGACAACTGACCACACTCTGGGACAACTGACCACACCCTGGGGCAACTGACCACACTCTGGGGCAACTGACCACACTCTGGGACAACTGACCACACTCTGGGACAACTGACCACACTCTGGGACAACTGACCACACCCAGGCGCAGCTGACCACACTCTGCGACAACTGACCACACTCTGGGACAACTGACCACACCCTGGGACAACTGACCACACTCTGGGACAACTGACCACACTCTGGGACAACTGACCACACCCTGGGGCAACTGACCACACCCAGGGGCAGCTGACCACACTCTGGGACAACTGACCACACTCTGGGACAACTGACCACACCCTGGGGTAACTGACCACACTCTGGGACAACTGACCACACTCTGGGACAACTGACCACACCCTGGGACAACTGACCACACTCTGGGACAACTGACCACACTCTG